TTTTTTTTTAAATAAAAGAAATAGACTATTTTTTCTATTTCTAGACAAAAGATGCTCATCCAAAGCTATTGATAGCTGATAGTGCTAATTCACATCTTAATCCTGATCTTGTTCGTGATTTACGTAAAAAACGAATGGTGGTTGCGATTGTACCAAACGGCTGCACAATCTACGTACAAATACTTGATGTGTCGATTTTTTCGGTTTTTAAAAATCATTACAATGATGTTTTGGAGGAATATATTGAAAAGAATGCATCTAAGAGTAAAATAAGACTTACGGCATCACAATCACGTATTCTTTGCACTAGATTTACTTGGTCTGCATGGATACGAACATTGAAAAGGATCGATTTTCTTAAAACCTTTCACAACATCGGTTATATTTGGACAGATAATTCACTTGCCTCACTTCGTTCAATGCCCGGTTATACATTTGATCCAACATCAGTTGAATGCTTGTCGCTAATGGATGATAATTATGATAATGAAGAGCGCATTGATATTGTTGCTGAAGCAGCTTCAGAACAACAGCAACAACATACTCAAATTGCATCAACCCAAATAAAGTAATTAACATTAATCAATATGTGAAAAAATAAAAAATAGTGATTTTTTTATATCTTGCAGTTTTTTTCTTGTCACTTTTTTAATGAAAGTAATCTAATAAAATAATGAACACTAAAACTTTTTTTTCATACAAATTTGAACCAAACAACCATTTAGAAGACTCCTCTAAATATAAGACCCCTCTGAGAAGTTTATATGCACGGATGCTATGGAAGATCCTGGGTCTTCTATTGCAAGGAGGTTTCGCTGGCATTTTCTCAGAAGTACCTTTTCCAAACATATTGTCGCTATAGCACCTTGATAGAAATATCACAAATCACCGGTATCACATCAAACACACTACCGATTGATGAAACAGAAAAAGAAAAAGAAATAGACCAGCGAAAGCTAAACTTCTTTTCACAGCGTAATCATTGAATCGTCATTTTCCTTTTTTCTTCATTCATTGTTTGTATTAGGAATGCGGCGTTGACGGTGGTCACCGGTAACACCGTGGTAACGGTTCACCGTTCATCGATACCATCAGCATACGATGCACCGTAAGCACCGGCGACAACGTGCTCAAATTAAAGCTACTCAGGTTGATCTGATTCATATCAAAAGTGAAGCTGCTCATGTCGTTATCAAGAAGTGCATATTCAGTAGCTCCTCATCCGGCTACTATGACATATGATCGTATTTCTCAAACTTCATAAACAGTTTCCAAACATTGATCACTTCATAGCTATGAATGCAACGGTGGTGATCATTCATCGGTTAACCGTCACCATTTNAAAAGCAAATACATATATATATATAGATATATATATAGCGATGACTCATTCTACGAAATGAAAGAACAGAAAAGAAACAAATGAAATATGACAATAACAATGACTATTGTCAATACATCACAGATAGGTATACTCGTAAGATTTTGAGAAAAGTTTTTAACCAACTGATAGAGCATGACAGCAGCTAGGTGTCTTGTGAAGAAAATACTTTTATAAATTGAAAAATAAGAAAGTTATAGCCACTTTGCTGAAAACCACTGATTTACTTTATACACTTACCACATTCCGCTTTATACCAATTCCAACTTAACTATAGTTGTTGAAGTTTGGTTTGGTGACAACTTCATGGTTTCTAAACACTAGCAATCCAAAAAAGTCATGAAAAATTGGGATATCGAGTACAGATCTAGAGAAAAGGGCTCATCTTCAGTGTTTATCATTAAAATCAATTAAGAAGTGATAATACATTGAAATTGATTAACAGGTAATAACAAATTGGAGCAGATTAACAGGCAATAATAATAGATTGAAGCAGTAACACGTAACAACTTAGGAAAAACTTCTAAGGATTAAAATCGATAAAAACTTCAAAGGTTTATGACAATAATCCAAATAAATAATTGATTTTGTGTAACAAAATTATAGTCCGATTTTTGTGAAACAAAATCTGGATTTTAATCTATTATAATCAAAACAAGTAATGCGTCAGTTTTTTCAGCCTCGCTTAGCCCAATCCTGAAACCAATGAAAGACAGTATAGAAAGTTAACTCACATGTTGTTAAATACATTCTTAAATGAGACGAAAATAAAACTCAAGAAGCATTTTATGGGAACATAAGCAGTAGGTAATATTGAAATCTATTACTTTTCCGACAGTTTATAACTCATTGTTCTTCTCTCTCTAAAACTCATGTATTTATACCTATGTTGGAACACATTTCACTAGATTTCATTGGTGAAAATTTGCGATAATATAAATGTGTGACACATGGCTTATTCGAGAAAAACGCGGAGAAGGCTTCCTTCTAGATCTGAAGTATTTGATATGATTCCAGTGTCTTTCTGTAACTTGCAAGAGTGACAGTCAAATATTTTTATTCTAAAGGATGGCTCATTGTAACACTTCTAGTTTAGCTTATTATGTATCAGATATGATGTCACTGTCGTTTGTATTGATTGTTCATATATGCTATTTGACCTTTTCATGTCTTAAGCTATTACCGCATGCTTTATCATTTTCTCTTACATACTCATATACTACTAATCATGTTCAACGTTCTCTTTCTTCTTATACAATGGTATATCACTAATGAGTTGACCGCATACTTTCTGTTCTTCGTCTGTTGTGCTGATTGATTGTTCTTTCTTTTCTTGTGGTTATGTGTTTTTCTCTTCCTCTCTTGCTCTGCTCTCGCTATATAAGGAGTGGACAATAGGGGAAGAAGGCATTCTTTTGAAGAATAAACACAAGAATCGTTACATTCATGAAATAACACTAAGATAAAAAATTGAAACATCATCTTCACCTCGGTCCACTCAAATAGGTTCACATTTTGGTTTCTTCTGGAAGTTTATTTAAAGCTTTTTTTTTGGGCACGCATAACAACAAAACTACAATTGTCAAACCAAATTTCTGGCCTCACTGAAGAAATTTTATCCATAGTCAACTACGTATGTTACATACAAAGTATTTCATGATTACATTTCAGGAGTCATCTAAGAGGCATTGCAAGTAAGCTACGACTAGTTCCAGCAGAATCTTGCTCAATCGATGCCATTGATTTGGCTGATATTTTTACAGTACGTAGGTAAATCTCAGTTAGCAATAAACTAAAAGTTTCAACTTAAATGGATGATCTGTTCTGGAGATATAGACGAGACAAGTATGAGTGGATGGGTCTCATTTGGAGTACATTATGGTGGAATACTTTTCATTGAGTTTTCATTTTCTAGAAAACAACAGAAGTTATAAGAGAGACACGCTTACCATTGATACTATCGATGATGAGCTATCATTTAATGGCATTAAAAGTGTCTTATCATCAAATATTATTGATTTGTTACCATATACCATTTCCAGATAGCATGACCTCATAAACAAGGTAACTTGGTCAAATCAGCGCAATTGATCAGCTCGAGAGTAGCCTCACTTGAACGAGCAAATCAAACTGCGTCCAATGGCGTTTTCAGAAGTTTGTGGACATGAGCTTTGGTAGCAAAAATGTTTTGAACTAGACCAGAAAGGCTGAATTCGGGGCCCGATTCTGACTATAAAGATTGACGATTTATTTTCAAGTGTTTGATTTGAGCGTTTTCGATGAAAATTTATGTCGAGAAACCTCTAAATTTAAAGTTTCAGCTCATTTGAAAATTGTCTGCGAAAAATGGTGAAAGACTTATTTTGAAAAATTTTATTGGATTATATGTATAGCGCACCTAATTTTTCTAATATCCGTATTTGGGATAAAGTGTAACCAAAAGATCTAAAACATTCACTGTAATTGATTCTTATCAAGTACTTTCTATGTGCAAAGTTTGAAATCGAATTTTGAATTTTGATTTTCTTATGAATTACTTGTAGAAAATTATCGTGATCCGCCACAGGATCATGAAAAAAACTCAAAATTCGATCGGAAACTTTGCATATAGAAAGAACTTGATGACAATCAATTACAGTGAAAGTTTTAGATCTTTTGGTTGCACTTTAACAGAAATATGGATATTAGAAAAAATTAACGGGTGAGACATATTATGCAATAAAAATTTTCTAAAAATCAGTCTTTCACCATTTTTCACAGACATATTCAAATGAGCTGAAACTTCAAATTTAGAGGTTTCTCGACATAAATTTTCATCGAAAACACTCAAATCAAACACTTGAAAATAAATCGTCAATCTTCATAGTCAGAATCGGCCCCCGAATTCAGCCTTTCTGGTCTAGTTCAAAACATTTTACTATCAAATTTCATGTCCACAAACTTCTGAAAACTCCATTGGACGCAGTTTGATGTGCTCTTTCAAGTGAGGCTACTCTCGAGCTGATCAATTGCGCTGATTTGACCAAGTTACCTTGTTTATGAGGTCATGCTATCTGGAAATGGTATATGGTAACAACTCAATAATATTTGATGATAAGACACTTTTAATGCCATTAAATGATAGCTCATCATCGATAGTATCAATGGTAAGCGTGTCTCTCTTATAACTTCTGTTGTTTTCTAGAAAATGAAAACTCATTGGAAAGTATTCTACCATAATGTACTCTAAATGAGACCCATAGCCTCATACTTGTCTCGCCTATATCTCCACAACAGATCATCCGTTTAAGTTGAAACTTTTAGTTTATTCCTAACTCGGATATACCTAGCTACTATAAAAATATCAGCCAAATTTGTGACACCTACTGACCAGCGTTGGTCATGACTTACGTGCAATGGTTCCCAAGAGAATAATGTTAATAAGTCAAATCAAACTCAATGAATGATACTACATTGATACACACAGAGCAAGTTTTCAAAACGACTAATTCTAAATACTGAAATTTGCGTCCCATAATTCAAATAAACAATTGCAGCCCTTTGAGCACAAAAACATCAGGTTTCTTGCAAAAAGTGGTGCTCCATATTCGGCACTTCGCAATTTTGTAACTCGTCACTGCTAGTCTAAGTGGTTGTGAAAATTTGCTCTATGAGTACAGATATAGTATCATTCGTGCAGTTCGTTTTCACTTGGAGTCTGGATCTAGGCTTGGATGAGAGGCTGCTGAAGTTCTTCTCTTCTCTCGCACCCATCACACTTGAGTTTCACATCCACACCAACACCCAAACTCGACCTACATCCATATCTACCTACCAAAGCCCACACTGTATCGTTATCAACGTCATGACCAAACACATCCAGGCTCACAAACTGGGACAGACCCAGAACAACAAATCACCCTCAACCAGATACACAATCTTGCCCCCACGCTCCACAGTCAAAATGAATTCATACCTGGCTACATCCATAGTCACAAACTAACACACACCCCTCACGAACACCCACTTTTACAACCATCCATGTACGTACTTGAAACCCACGCCTAACTCCTTTCCATGTCAAGACATCCATGTCCACACATCAGCCATGCCCACAACCAACACATCTCCGACCACGCGAACACCTAGATTCAGACCAAGACAGACACCAACGCTCGTCTCAGACACAGATCAAGGCCTACCATAACATTC